AACGAGATGGTGATTTGCTCTTTCGACCTCAACGAGATGGTCATTCGCTCTTTCCACCTCAATGAGATGGTATTCACTCTTTCAACCTCAACGAGGTGGCCGTTCACTCTTTCGACCTCAACGAGGTGGCCGTTCACTCTTTCGACCTCAATGAGATGGTCATTCGCTCTTTCGACCTCAACGAGATGGTGATTTGCTCTTTCGACCTCAACGAGATGGTGATTTGCTCTTTCGACCTCAACGAGATAGTCATTCGCTCTTTCCACCTCAATGAGATGGTATTCACTCTTTCAACCTCAACGAGGTGGCCGTTCACTCTTTCGACCTCAACGAGGTGGCCGTTCACTCTTTCGACCTCAACGAGATGGTCATTCGCTCTTTCGACCTCAACGAGATGGTCTCCCGCTCTTTTGACCTCAACGAGATGGTCATTCGCTCTTTCGACCCAAACGAGATGGTCATTTGCTCTTCCGACCTCAACGAGATAGTCATTCGCTCTTTCCACCTCAATGAGATGGTATTCACTCTTTCAACCTCAACGAGATGGCCATTCGCTCTTTCGACCTCAACGAGATGGTCATTCGCTCTTTCGACCTCAACGAGATGGTCATTCGCTCTTTCGACCTCAACGAGATGGTGATTTGCTCTTTCGACCTCAACGAGATGGTCATTCGCTCTTTCGACCTCAACGAGATAGTCATTCGCTCTTTCCACCTCAATGAGATGGTATTCACTCTTTCAACCTCAACGAGATGGCCATTCGCTCTTTCGACCTCAACGAGGTGGCCGTTCACTCTTTCGACCTCAATGAAATGGTCATTCGCTCTTTCAACCTCAACGAGATGGTCATTCGCTCTTTCGACCTCAACGAGATAGTCATTCGCTCTTTCCACCTCAATGAGATGGTATTCACTCTTTCAACCTCAACGAGATGGCCATTCGCTCTTTCGACCTCAACGAGATGGTCATTCGCTCTTTCGACCTCAACGAGATAGTCATTCGCTCTTTCCACCTCAATGAGATGGTATTCACTCTTTCAACCTCAACGAGATGGTCATTCGCTCTTTCGACCTCAACGAGATGGTCATTCGCTCTTTCGACCTCAACGAGATGGTCATTCGCTCTTTCGACCTCAACGAGATGGTGATTTGCTCTTTCGACCTCAACGAGATGGTCATTCGCTCTTTCGACCTCAACGAGATAGTCATTCGCTCTTTCCACCTCAATGAGATGGTATTCACTCTTTCAACCTCAACGAGATGGCCATTCGCTCTTTCGACCTCAACGAGGTGGCCGTTCACTCTTTCGACCTCAATGAAATGGTCATTCGCTCTTTCAACCTCAACGAGATGGTCATTCGCTCTTTCGACCTCAACGAGATGGTGATTCGCTCTTTCGACCTCAACGAGATGGTGATTTGCTCTTTCGACCTCAACGAGATGGTCATTCGCTCTTTCCACCTCAATGAGATGGTATTCACTCTTTCAACCTCAACGAGGTGGCCGTTCACTCTTTCGACCTCAACGAGGTGGCCGTTCACTCTTTCGACCTCAATGAGATGGTCATTCGCTCTTTCGACCTCAACGAGATGGTGATTTGCTCTTTCGACCTCAACGAGATGGTGATTTGCTCTTTCGACCTCAACGAGATAGTCATTCGCTCTTTCCACCTCAATGAGATGGTATTCACTCTTTCAACCTCAACGAGGTGGCCGTTCACTCTTTCGACCTCAACGAGGTGGCCGTTCACTCTTTCGACCTCAACGAGGTGGCCGTTCACTCTTTCGACCTCAACGAGATGGTCATTCGCTCTTTCGACCTCAACGAGATGGTCATTCGCTCTTTCGACCTCAACGAGATAGTCATTCGCTCTTTCCACCTCAATGAGATGGTATTCACTCTTTCAACCTCAACGAGATGGCCATTCGCTCTTTCGACCTCAACGAGGTGGCCGTTCACTCTTTCGACCTCAATGAGATGGTCATTCGCTCTTTCAACCTCAACGAGATGGTCTCCCGCTCTTTTGACCTCAACGAGATGGTCATTCGCTCTTTCGACCCAAACGAGATGGTCATTTGCTCTTCCGACCTCAACGAGATGGTCATTCGCTCTTTCCGCCTCAACATGAAGGCGAAGCCAATTCATTTCTCCTCTATGTGTCCGAAATTCTGAAAGAAAACAAATGGAAAGGAGGTGATTACCGACTAAATCGAGTCTCATGCGTCAGAAGACTTTAATTTTCTTTTTTTTTTATAGAATTAATTTGTTTACACGCAAGTCCCAACCAGACGGTTTAAAAAAAAAAACTTTTCTTTTCAGGGTCATTTTAAAGGGTAACTGCAAAGAAAAAAAAGTTTTTTTTTCAAACAGCCTAATTGGGACAAGCATGTCACAAAACAAATGTTCCGCGAAAAAAATTATTTTTTTTATCAATATTTACGCCACAGGACGTAATTCAGTAGAGTCGGAACCTCTCCACATTTGAAACTCCCGCTCTTTCGACCCCCACGGAAGAGGAGTACGCCCCGCCCCTCACTCTCCTTGCGTTGCGGAGTTGAACGACGCAGCGTCTTGACTTCCGGCAAGATCTGGCGACTACGCCAGGCCGTGGTATTTTTTTTGGTTTGACTGGGTTTGCGAGCACATGTAGCAAAGACGTGACCGGTGAAGTGCCCCTGTGATGTTCCCGGAAGATGGAAAGTATCGTTCGTAATCGTCGTGCGCGCTTTGAAAGCGAAGGGAGTCACAGAATCCACGAGTGCGCAACCACAAGCCAAGGTTCATGACAGCGCTGCGGTGGTTTCGGCAATCTCGTTCTGTTTGGTGCAACACGGCGTTGCGACAGAGCTGAAACGTTCGTGGTGTGTGTAGTGCGGTGCTAACACGGAGCGCAAATTGGTTGTTGTGGGGTTGAGTTCACCCAGTTAAGTCCCATCATCGTCGGCTGATCCAGTCAAACTGGTCCGGGAGGATGCTGGGAGCGTTTTTAAAAGTAAATCTGCCTCGTTCTGTTTCAAAATGTGGAAGTTTCCCAACGCATACCGTGAGTAAAAAGCTGCGGGCGTTTTCAACAAAATTACGTCGTTTTAATTGAACAATGGACTCTGCGTTGTTGTCCTAAATCTGCCGTTTTTATGCTTCGTGTTGGACTGCGTTTGCACAGCGACGTGTTGCATTGTGCGGTGTGAATAAATTTGGGCACGATTTCGTACCTGCCTACAGATGCATGAACTGAGACCATTTTTACGTAGTGGACATAGTGCTTTTTTATTTTCTGTCTAGTCGCAGACGTTAGGTGCACACGGGGCGAATCTCGACGGCCTCCAGAGCGATATGACGAGAACGTAACTAGACACGTTGGTCGCTACGCGAACGCCCGATTGCCTCCAGCCAAATAGCATTCCTTTCGGGGCGACATGGCTGCTGGAAGGCTCACTGTCTGGATCACGCATCTGACATCTCCGAAAAGTCAGCATCTGCAAGCGCAAACAAGCAAAACAAACACACACAAAAAAAAAACACGCTAAGCAAGCAAAGAGGAAAACAAAAGAACCGCGCTATGAAAGCCAAAACCCCGCGTCGCTTCCTATCACTAACACCTGCGACAGCTGCTAAACACACACTACTTCACTTCAAGAAGTCTCACTCCAAGCACCTGGGTCCGCACGAAACGACGAAACACTGATCACTTCGGCGAAACGATTAGTCGAGGTAGGCGAGACAGGCGGGAGCAGAGACTTCGGCGGCCATGAAAGAATGGCGAAGCTTTTGTTTGTATGAATCCAAACGGAAGTGCCCGTCTTGTAAACCTTTTGTAAAGAATAATAACTCTCATCACATGGGTTATTCTTTAAACGTAAAATTATGCCGCTCAAAAGGAAATTGCAACATATAACAAAGGTTTAACAACCAAGATGTAAGCTGTCAATCAAACTCTTAGCCAATGAGAACCTTTTGGGATTAACGCCACATAATCACAACTTCGTGGCCCGCGATTTAAAACGGACGAAATAGCCGCAAACTAAAATGAGTCTCACGCAATAAATATTGCTGTAAAAAATGTTTTTTCTCGCGGAAAAATTGTTTTTTGACATGCTTGTCCCAATTAGACCCTTTAAAGCCAATGCTGACAGGGTATGGGAGTTATGACGCTATTTAGACTAATGTCGAAACTCTGAGAAGAAAAACTGGCACAAATATTTCAAATCCAGTTACAAGTGTTGTCTCTAGTGTATTTATGCGAAGTGCACCTGTGCCTTCACTCAGGTCGTAACTGCTTTCAGTGACTGGACATAAAATAATGCTGAAAACGTGCAATGTTGCTTACAATGAACCTTTCAAGAAACAAAATTACAAAAAAAGGTAATTCTTTTCTGAGACCAGATTTTTTTTATTATGTGTGTTGTAAAACTATGTCACTATTTCTAGGTCACCAGTATTTCAAGTAAAGTTTTGCGCATCAAAGGGTTAAGGGGGGAGGAAGCTGTTGTGGAGCATAAACTTTTTTTATTTTTTTTTATTTTAAGAGCTATCTGTATAAAATTTTCAGGGTACATTCATATCACATATGTAAGAGTAACTGCTAAGTTTCATAAAGCTGTGCCCATAGGTTCTTAATTTACAATATTGTTTCGGTGTGGTTCCCTTGCTTCCTTTTTTTCTCAGGCCTGGACATAGTGGAAATGTGAAATTTATTATAAGTATTCCTGGATAGGCACCCCATGACAAAGATCTTTCTGTTAAATTCTCTCCATACTATTTTTTTGCATAACATTGAGTTTCATATTGTCGGTCATATCCTCATCCATCAAATTTTATTTTGAGCATTATCAATTTTTAACACAATTTTCTAAAATTACTGAAAGCTTGAAAAGAAATGAGGACAATGAAAGGAGAATGAACCAAGCATTGTCCTGCAGTTCTCTTCCGTCCTTATTTCTTTCCATGACTCAAAGTTGAAATCGAGCAACGCTTCCATCGTCCGCGTCACTCTCGTTTCAGACCAGCCCAACATAATGAACCTGGGACGTGGCAGCGCCGGTGGTGCCAACAGAGACCGCGACACGGGGACCCAGTCCCAGGGACGCAGCACGACGGAAAGGGACTCCGGGGGACAGGCCGGCTTCGGCTTCGGACGTGCCCGATGCAGGACCAGGTAAGAAAGGGCACCGGCAACAGTGCTGCCACGAGACTGCCGCGACCAATTTCCCGTATTTGTTCCTACCTTCTGCACTTGGCACAGAACACCGAGTAGCCGCCCTTCCAAAATTGAAAGATGGTTGCCGCAAAATGGCGTCTGGCCGAGGCTCTTCTTCGACCGGTAAGGAGATGAGTCTGGGCCGAACGCTGACGCGGAATTTACGTCCAATCCGTGCCTCGCATTCGCCTCTTTAGGGGACGTCGAGAATTCAAGACTATGGCCAGTTCTAAAACTGCATTCCTAGGGGCCCCGCGGTTTCCCGGGGCACTCGCTTGGGTTCCCTCTTCCCTCAACTGCCCCCGAGTAAAGTGTTCTTCCAGTTTCGGCATTGCTTTAGTAGAACCGAGCTACTCGTGGATGCCGAGATATGCCTTACGACTTGCAAAGCCGATAAGCTTTGGCGCTGCTTTGTCAGTGCCGAAGCTTCATGGTGACATTGAGAGGGGTTCCCCAGCCGTGAATCAACAGGGCTAGCATTCTCCGAGACGGACAACCTGGAGGATTTCCGGTCGAGGAGGCATTTGCTACGCCCGCCTTTTTTTTTCCGACGTCCACGATTTCTTACGTCTCTGCCAGGGATGCGGGCGGCCACTCGAGATCCACGACCGGCGGAGCGGCAGCAGAAGGATACCCGAGCCACCGCTACACCCGCTCCGCGAGCGGGCGGCGCATGCAAGCAGCGCCCGTGGGCCGGGCCGCCCTGCTCCAGTCGCTGCTCCAGTCAAGGCAGCAGAGGGGCTCGAGTGCGCCGCTCTGGGCACAGAACGCCCCCTGGGGACCGCCCACGCCAACTGCGCCGGGCAGCGAGGCCTCGCCAACGAATACGGTACGCTTGTGCATTGAGGAAGCCGTCGACTTATTCTACGGGCTGTTGACATAGACGTTGTCGTTGGAGTTGTCGACTGCCCTTCATCCAAGCGAGCCAACTCGTAAATGGAGTTACGCGTTTACAGTGTCGCTATTGTTATTTTTTGTGCAGATTTACGTTTTTTTTTGTGCGGCACAAAATATTGGCGGTAATCGAGGTCTACGTCGAAGAAAATGGGCTACGGGCACGGGATCCCTTGACCTCCGGGCGATGTGCGCGTACCCGAATACAGTTAAACCTCGATGTAACGAAGTCGGTAAAATTCGCAATTTACTTCGTTACATTGAAAGTTTGCTAAATCAAAATTTAGCTTTAGCATGCAAAAAAAAAAAAAAAATTCCGAAACATTTTTTGGGTATGAAAACTCACCGAAAAGGACATTTATTTAGGGGCAAAGTAGTCCGCGAGTTTTGCTTGCGCCTTGTTCGACAGTAGCAGCGGCGTCATACGGCGTTCGAGCGCCCAGAGCGCTTGCACGGCATCTTGCTGCTCATGCGACGCCGTGTACCTCCTCAGTACGTCCATTGCGTCGATCACTTCCCGAGTGCTCGTGATCTCGGCGGTTTCTTCAGGATGGCGTCCAAAACGTTTGCTTTCTCATCCAAAGAAAGAACTTTACGTTTCCCTATGGCAGCAAGCACGAGAGTGAACCGCCCGGTTGAAAAATAAAGCTGTTTAGGCGGTGCCAATGTTTCCAACCTACACAGCACTCTTGCCCGCACAGTTTACTTGCCCCCTTGCGCCCACAGTGTGCTTGCACCTTTGCTTTACATCACGACGGTGTGCTTGCGCCTTTGCTTTACATCACGCTCGCAAGACGATAGTCGGTCTTCTCCTAGATGGCACTGCCCGTTCAGTCGCGCCATCACGTCGCTCCCCCGCTGAAGTTGGCTCCCGCGCTACCCGCGGTACAGTGGACTATGATGATCAGTGAATGTCAGTGGTGATGCTGTTATGCCGTGTTAACTTTTTGCTCGGCATTTTCTGGCCAGCCCCGTGGAATGCGCTTTGCCGCATGCCTCGCCGGCGCTACCGGCGCCACATCCTCGGGCAGCCTAGGAGCGTTGGAAGGCCTGTCCCCGTGAAGTAACCTATCAAGCGCTCGCGTTTGCGCATAATTTTTTTTTTTTAACCACAATTTTTTTGCGAAGTTGTTTTTTACAGTTTATTTATTTATTGCCTTGTATGGCAATGGCACTTCGTTATATTGAAATAGCAGCAAAATAGACTTCGTTATATAGAGACTAAAAATACATGGGGTCTATGGGCAAGAAATTATGAAAAATAAAATACTTCATTAAATCGAGATTTCGTTATATTGAAGTTCGTTATATCGAGGTTCGACTGTAGTCGGGAAAGGACTTGGTACAGATGAGAGTAGAAACAGAGGTGGGGGGGCACGGTTCGGAACATAAAAGCGGCCTTAGGGATAGTCTGCTGGGAGCGGCGTTCGGGGGCAATGTAAAGTAGCGCCATCGACGAGAATTTTCTTCTCGCGAAGCGCGGATTTTTTGTATTCGAGGGCAGCCTCAGTTAGGGGTTTTCGGTTTTCCCCGATTTTAATAGAAGCAGGAGGGGTTCATTTTTGGGGTTTAACAGTATTTACCTATAAACCCCGAAACCTATAATAGGAAACCCTACTTGTAAGTAGGGTTCCTTCTTTCCGGTAGGAATACCAATGAACCCTGAAAGGTAACTCTCGGGCCAGTTTTATCGAAATGGTGGAAACGCAAACAACCTTGAACCGGCGCTGGCCTTGAATGAGAAAATTCTGGGGAGACCTAAGCACTTCTTATGAGTTGTTAATGCGAAAGCATTCTCGGTGCCAAGAGGAGCAGAAGCAGCCGCAGCGGTGGCAGGGAATGTGGCGGTGCGCCGCGCAGACTGGCCTGGTTTGCGGGTGACTGCTGCGCCGCCGGGTGAGGCTGCGGGAGTGCAAAACTCGGCGCTGTGCGTTCTGAAATCACATGTTTTCTCATCACCATCGCCCCAACTGCGCGTACCAGTTGACGACATTACACTTCGAAGCGTACCGTAAAGCCTAACGTTACGCCGCCGCATACCCGTGTCCCCCCTCCTCACGTCAAACAGCTGCGCATACCGGTTGACAACGTTGGACCTCAAAGCAGTACGATGGGCCTAACGTCAGGCCGGCGCATACCCGCGTCCCCACCTCCCGCTGTGTGCCAGCAGTTCGGCTGGCTCCTTAGCAGCGATGATGCCATTGCTATAGAGCCACATGACGCGTCGCAGCCAATAGAAATTCTGTTTTGCTGCTACGGGCTTCGCTCCATGGGACAGTTAATTCTTTTGCATTAAAAATGGAAGCTTAATGGGTAAAAACCTTTATACATGGCTTTATCTTGCGTTGACGCTGAACATGGTCCGGCCCATACTGAACCGTCCACGAGTCTTTTTTTGGAAGCTGCTCCCTTTGTCTTGTTCCTTTTTTTTACGAGTACCAGGTGTGTTCTCAGAGTGTTTAAGTTATGTCCCTGAAACTTGAGGAATTTTGCGCGTCCATAGTTAGCCGGCCTTCTTGGGCCGATCGAGACCGCCGAGACCTAAATATACTCCGTTTCACCCTACGAGGGACAGCAGTGGACACTACGAGCCATTTAATTACCGTGCTAGTGTCACGTGAACTTCGGGAGAGACTCGGCAATACGCAGGGTGCATAGTCACGTGATTTGTATGCACAGTGCTCGCTCCACTGAGACAAGTAAAAAAGTAACGTAACGTAAAATATTCAGACATGTACACTTTAATGGAATATAGGTCAGAAAAACCCCAAAGGGCGAGGGGAGGAATAATATTTTGGTTTTTCTAGGCTAGGTGGCACAAGCGATCGCCTGTTATGAATACAGCCATTAGCTTCCATCCATCCATTCAGTAGAGGAACGCCTGGAACCGGGCAGAGCTGATTGGAACGATGCGTTGGAAGCATGCGTCCTGAACTGCCGCGTACGGCGAGTCAGAGCAGTCATCTTTCTGATAGTTTGCTCATTGGATCGAACAGTTTTGATGCTCGCATGTCTCGCACTTTGAGGGAAAGGTTCAAAAGTTGACCCTTGGGGTAGTGTCCTCTCTTAAAACGAAAGCTTGTTTTTCTTAAGGCGAGACGCGGGTCTTAAAATGGTAAAAAATCGCGAAATTTGGGGTTTTTCAAAAATCACATGTTTGGATAGAATATAGTCTGAAGTACCTGCCTGCGAAGTTTCAATGTCCTATTCGACGTCTAAGTATAAAAAAAACGATAAATACGATGCCTCCGCGACGCTCAAATCGCGAATCGTACGCAAAAAAATAGTCAAACTGCGCGCCCGCGTCGCTTCACGACCGATCGTCGGATCGCGGCCATCTTGGTCTTGTTGGGGAGCTGGTTCTCTTCCCTACGTCCTCATCCCACTCACTATCGCGACAACCTTGGAGAGCGTCCGCATTCCGCGGGTTTTCACAACCGGAATAACGATTGCTCATTGGCCCGCGCGCGTACATCACGGGTACGTCGTGCCGCGCGCGCCTGTCATAGGCCAAGACGCGCCCCTTTCCACTTTTGCTCCTTTCCTCCTCTTGGCGCGCGCGCCTCCAGCAGCGCAAGGGGAGCGTGGAGAAGCGTCGTCTGCTTCGTTTTGGCCCGTCGCTTTGTTCGTTCCGCGGCTGAGTGCACGTTTCGAAATCGTTTACGTTCGCGCGTTCGCGTCGGACATCGTTGGTTTCTCGCTACGAAGTTGCGGGAGTTTTATTTCGAGCGATCGAGATGCCGGGGGACTCTCGATTGAAAGAGAGTATGCGGCGGACGTTCGGGAGGAAGACGCGACGTGCGTGGAACAAGCGGAAGACATCACCTGCAAGTGCGCCGCTACGATCTGCGCCACTGCCGAACGCATTGGATCTGCCGGGACCATCGGCTAGCCTTCCCGTTGACGATGCTGCGGCCTCAAGCTCTGGTCCGGATGGCTCAAGTTTTGCCGGCACCACTCGCGTCGACTCTACCTACTACTCTACGGCCGAGCAAGCGCAGCGCGCCGAGCGATCGGAGCAAAGCAAGCGCGTTTTATCGGAGAAGTCGGCGACCCAGCGGAAGTTCGATCTGCTTGAAGTCAACGGATCATGCCAAACAAGCGATGCCGGGACCCAGTTTGTCATCGTCGACATGAAAGTCCTCAACGACCTCTTCGCGCACGCGAGGTGTGGAAGCTGCGGTGTGGGATCTCTCACGCTCAGCAAGGCCGCGGACAAGGAGTACGGCTTGGCCGTCAAGCTTGTGCTCGTCTGCAGCACTTGCGACTTCCAGAAGAAGCAGTTCTCCTCTCCCAGGGTTGCTGGAACAGCAAAGATCACTCCCTTTGAAGTGAACATGAGGGCCATGAAGGGGATCCAATCCATTGGCAAAGGAGTGACAGCCTTGGCAGACTTCTGTGCCTCCATGAACATTTCTCATCGGGGCCTGCACCACAAGACGTACCAGGGACACCTGAAAACGCTTGTGCGGGCATGTGAGAATGCAGCAACCGACAGTGAAGCCGCCAGTGTTGCTGTCGTCAAGGGGCTCTACACAGGCTTTATGAACCCCATTGGCAACATCGATGTCATCTTCGACGGATCATGGATGACCCGAGGACGCAGCTCCCACATTGGTGTAGGCTGCATTGTGGAGTTGTACTCTGGCCTCGTCATCGACCATGTTGTGTACTCCAACTTCTGCCTTGGATGTGCCTTGGGACCGGAGCCCGAGGACGATGGCTACAGCGACTGGTACGCAACCCACGACTGCCAGAGGAACATTGACTGCAATGCTGGCCGTATGGAGGTGGAGGCTGCGCTCACAATGTTCCAGAGGTCTCTGACCAAGCATGGTCTCCGCTACACCACCGTCCTTTCGGATGGGGACAGCCGGACATTCCATGCCTTGTCTGAAGCGAAGGTTTACGGCTTCATCAAGATAGAGAAGAAGGACTGCGTGAACCACGTCCACAAGCGGATGGGAGCTGCCTTGCGCAACGTTGTTGAGAAGAAGAAGGCACAAGGCGAGTCACTTGGTGGCAGAGGAAAGCTGACACAGGAAAAGATCAAGAAGATCACTAACTATTACGGCTATGCTCTCAGGAGCAACAGCCATGACGTTCCAGGGATGAAGAGGGCGGTGGGAGCCACACTCCTGCACATGACCTCCACAGACGGCGCCCCAGACCACAGCAAGTGCCCCGAGGGAGCGGAGTCCTGGTGCAAGTACAACAGGGCCTTGGCAAACAGTGAGCCTCCGCCGCCGCACAAGAATCCTCTTCCGGATTGTGTTCGGGCTGCACTGGAGCCAGTGTTTGAAAGGCTCAGCAATGAAGACCTGTTGGCACGGTGTAGTGAGGGAAAGACGCAGAATGCCAGTGAGAGCCTGCATTCGGTGATCTGGACGCAGACTTCAAAGAATGCGAATGCCTCCCTGGACAGCGTGAAGAGGGCTGCGGCTGAAGCTGTTGCTGTCTACAACCAGGGAAGGAGAGCGACCAACGAGTCCATTGCTGCAGGCCTGGGCTACGCCACCGGTGACTGCCTTGTCCGCCGAAGCATCGAAAAGGACAGTCTCCGTTTACGTAAAGCAAACGCGGTGCACCAGAGCAGCAGTAGCGTGAAGGAAAGGTTCTCCAAGCGACACCAGGCAGGAGCATCACGAGATTACAGCCCAGGACAGCTGTAATGGCTTTTTCCAGTGCCATGTGGAACAAAGGCCCTTTTCAGGGCCAAACAAAATTACGTTTGGAGCTTGAAACTCTTGCTCGCCTCTCCCGTTGTCCAAAGTTGTCGGGTCATCACTTTAGAAGCAATTTTTAGCCTATATCAGTAATTCTTCACCAGTTTTGCAATCTTCTCAAAAACAAATTATTGCAATTTTTAAAATTATTTGTTCAGAATGCACTACACTACATCTTGATAACTATTATTGCAGAAGGGTTTTCACATAATTTATTGTAGTCAGCGTCGAAACAGGAAAATGTGATTTTATCAACATTTCACTCGGTCTTTACTTCTTTCATATTTTTTTCCGAATGTTCCCATAAATGGATTACATCATCTTTTATGTCAAGTTGTTCATGAAGACTTACACTACACCTTGGTGGCAATTATTATTTATCATTGTTCACACAATTTTCTATGTTCAATGTCAAAACTTTAACTTTGATTTTCTCATCTTCATGTTTTTTGTCAACGTGCTTAGCCTTACGGGGGTTTTCATGAGGTTTTTATCGTAGCATTTTGAAACTTTTTATACCGTTTTATTCAGAAAGGACTGGACTGTGGAGTAAAGCTATTTTTTTGCAGTTTATAATGACAACGAAAATTTTATGATAAATAATGCGACCTCATTAGTGTCATAATTAGCATAATTAGTACATTTTTGTATTATAATGTAATTTTGTGAAAATATAAATAGCTTTATAATGCATGGCAGACCTTTAGCTATGCATCTACATCAATAAAAAAAAATATTTTTGTTCGAAATGGCCTTAACGACCCGTAAGAAATTAACCAAATTAGGCAACACTATTTTTTATAACTTGAAAACTAATTGAGATATTTTGAAACTGATTTCATATTTGAATTGAGGAAGAAGGAACACATATGCACAGCGATTTTCATTAGTATAGCTGCAAAAATAAAATAGTCCATTTTAGAACCAGTGTCTCGCCTTAATGGCACTTTCACACCGGCAATGTGCAGCAGTCACGTGATAACTTTCATCGCAAAAGCAACCATCCAAGAAAAAAAAGCGACGCATCTTGAGTGGTCCCTAGCTGACCCGAATTTTTGCGACGCGATCTAGTCGCATTGCGCGAGTGCTTTATATCGACAATGTGAACGCGCTTTAAGATTCTGTTTGCTTTGTCAGCATCCCGAGGAACTGCCCAGCAGCGGAGAAGAGGCCGGTGCAGATGACCAGTGGCTGGATGCCGAGGCCGCTCCTTCCAGCCTGAGCGCTCGTACCGCCCGGATCAGCGCTCCTTCCGCCCGGATGAGCGCCGGCGGTTCCGAGGGCACCGCCCGCCGGGTGAGTGGATCGCTCGAAAAAGAAATCGCATCGCGCGTTTATTTAGACGGCGGGAAGCGGGTTGGCCCCGATGGGCGTCCGGACCCTCCACCATGGTCGAGAAGTTTGGCCGGTGCAGTATTGCCGCCGGCCTGGGGTCCTAAATGTGCACCACGCAGAAGCGATGGGCAACCGCATGCCGGTGCAACACACGTTCAGATTAAAACGGGCGGAAGAGGAATTGAGCGTAAGAACCCCCAGTTCTGCGGCGCAAGCGTTCGCTCTGTGTGCTTCGAACTGCGCATCATTAAATAAATAAATAGAATAGCAACGTACAAATTAGCAAATAAGGAATAAATAAAATGGATGAATAAAATTAATAAATTGAAATAAAAGTAGATAAAAATATGATAAAGATATTGAAAAATCTGGAACGACAACGCATGGGGTGTGCTTTGTGCAAGAGACATTGATAGAGCCTGTACAGTATAGACCACTTACAACGTAACCGCTTATAGTGCAGGACCGGGTATAACGCGTTTTTTTTAAACCACCGGTTCGCCTCCCATAGAACTCCATGTAATTGTATAGCGCTTAAAATACAGGCGCGCGAATGGAAATACCGGTTATAGTGCGGTTTTTTAAACAGTCCGCCGACCGCGCCGACCAACGCAGCGAGCACGCTTCCCTGTGCGACACTAGATAACGGCGCTAGCCACAAGCGGCACTCGCGGGGCAAGGAGGTTGCTCGAAAAAGCGGGGAGAAGCGAAGATAGAGGCTTTAGTTGCCATAGCGACGGAGGGACGCACGCACGTGTCATTCACGTGCGTGCTGTGCATCCCTCCGCTCTGTGCGTTGGAAACAACCGCAACGACAGACCAATCGCAGGTCGAGGAGAAGTGTTCGCGCGCGTTGCATGCCGGTCAAGGGCCGGCTGCTTCTATCCGCAAACATAGCGTCGGTTGTGATCGTCGATGTAGGTGGTGTGGTGGGCGCTCATCGTTCCCTGTAAAAGCGCTATCCTTGACTGTGAATTTTCGTTGTGTGTCGCTATGATAACCCAGCACGTACTAGGAGGAAAGATCCACCTGTTCGTGCGGCGATGTCGGGGGCACTCTCAAGACGGCAGAAACGCCCGTGTCGTCGTGTTTGTTTACTTTGACTACAGTGGTGCTTTCTAAGCATTTGTGTTTTCGAACATCGCCCGGATTTCTTATTTGGAGCAATTCATGCCTGTGCTCAAGTTGAAGTTATTACTGGCGCGTACCGTAAAAGGGATGCGAATTTTCACGAGTTTTTATCACCGGAGAAAAGTGATTAGGGTTAGCAATCCTGAACGCTCGCAACGTCCGTCCGCAACCCGCGATGCCGTTAAAAGGCTGCGCCAGCCTCCAGGCAAAAGTCGCTCATTTCTTTCAAAATGTGTGACACACTTGAGTGAGAAGTTTACTAGTCTGGTGAAATAAAGAATTTCCTCAAACTAAGCTTTATTTTTTATCTAACATAAAATAAATTGTTTTACAAAGGTAAGTTGTCTCATGGCATGTATTTTGGCCTGAAAAATTGATGTTTTGGTTATAGCACAGTACCGCTTATAGTGCGGATTTTCGCGACTCCCGCGACATACGTTATACTGTATAACTTTTTTTATGTTTTTGTTGCTCTGCAGTCTCCTCCATTTGGTCCCGGGTCCCCTCCGTCTCTCAGTACCATTATTCACGTGAGTTGCGTAATTCCTTTATTGCCACATTTTCCCGGATAATGTAATGCATGCCCCAGCAGAGTGTCATTAAAGAAAACGGGCTCCGTTTGTGCGGCCTGTTTGTCAGTCCCATACAACAGTACCGATGAAAAGGGTCTGTTGCCACCCGTGATGTACCGCGTTCGACGCTATGCCGAAAGGGCAGCTGCGTGCTCGCCGGTCCAGTTGGTCGCTCGTCTTCTGTCGCCTCTCTGCTCGCGAGCATGCACAGAGAGTACAGTCCAGCAGCGCAAGGTAGACTGGTTTGACGAGCACGTAGTTTCCACCACTTTGTCGGCACGCCGGTGAACGAGTTGAGTTTGGACTAACGGTCCGTGTTCACGTCATCCAACAGGTGCTGCTCAACGACTACGCCTGGAGACGCAACGTTGGGAACGCGGGGGTATTGGAGGAGTTTGTCGAGGAGAACTTGGTGGCGCCGAATTTGCTGGGGGACGGTGAGTCTGGACTTTTTGTTTGGGGTGCGTGCGACGAGCGGTTGCAGTAAGGGTAGCGGAGACAGGTTGCAAGCTAAACTTCGTTACTAACACCACGGTGCCCGGATTGCATCTTCAACCGGCGTATTTAGCGTCGTGTACCGCCCACGCATCGAAACCGAAACCGATCCTTATTTTTCTTGAATTCGCCGCAACCGCAAGGGCAGCCCGGTACTCCAGACCCACGTGTCGGGGAACAAAGATTGGCTACCAGATGCCCTAATAGATGCGTTGTCTAAAAGACCAGTTCGGGGGAACCAACGGAAAAACCGTCTCTAACGGGCCCGGGAAGACGGTCCGGGCGAAGGCGTAGAAGAGCATCTCTCAAAGTGCTGCCGGCTCGCCGTGGCCCTTTGCAGACTTTGCAAGTGCATTGCTGAGCACGGTGGCGCGCCACCTGACGCCCGAGTCACTGGTGCTGCTGCTGCGGGGGGGCTCCCCGGAGCTGCCAGTCTACCTGCATGGGCATCTGCAAATCAAGGTCCTGCGCTTCCTGCTGGGCCACCCCAGACCCACGGGGCTGCCCCAGGCAGCAGCAGCGGCCACCGAGGCCCTCCTCGGCCGCTGGGGGAAGCCCCTCATCAGGGACATGCTGGTGGGTGGACGCAGCTCGTTTGGAGTCACAGGATTGATGCCTCTACGAGCCCACGCGACCGTGTCACGCGACGTCCAAAGTCGCTGGATCTTGGGAAAGTAGCGACATTGCCTTCCCTGCCAGCTACAGTAAACTCTCACTTGAGCGAACTTCGAGGAAGTTAAGGAAATAGTTCACTTAACTGAACGTTCACTTAACTGAACGTTCACTTAACTGAACGTTCACTAAACTGAATAGTATATTCGCTAGAATATGGAACAGCATAGGGCACAACATACATCAAGTCAAAGGTGTGAAATGCAATTTATGGAGTCATGTACAGGTGAACCTCGATTTAACGAAGTCACCGGGACTTGTTACTTATTTCGTTGAACCTGGAACTTTGTAAAATCGTGGAAGGGATACCTCGCGCATAGGCTGCGCGGGGAATCCGAATTTGTTCATTAAATCGGTAAATTTGTAAAATCGGGTTTCGTAAAATCGAGGTTCAAGTGTATATCGATATATACAAGGTGCATAACAGTTACGTTGCTGCCTTTCTCATTTTAAAACAAAATCTCAATTTCATTTACACTGGCATTCTTAAAGCACATGGAGTAACATAGTCGTCCAGAGTATGTTTTTGTGCACTTCCTCTGGGAGAGCTTGTTGCTATGATGAAGCCATACCGCAACAGCGTCATCCACTGGCTTGAAATATATCAGTTTCTCCTTCAAGCTTTGACTTTCGCTTCACTATCGTTGACAACGTCGACGGTGGAATCCCAAAGTCCTTTGCAACGTCCACTTGCCTTTGACCGTCATCCAGACGCTGAAGGCAGGGGTGGAAGCGCTGCGCCAATTCACTTCCCTGCGCCAGCCTGCTCCAAAACGCCAATTTCAGCTTTTTTTTTTGTGTGTGTGTGTGTGTTTTCTTTAAATTTAGCAGATAATGGTTGGCCACTGGCCACCATGTGGCGTGTACTTTTGCTTAGGCGTCAGTGCGGGTGACTCGTACCATCTCGACTGGGGCTCCTAACCACGTGTAACCGCAGGGCGAGGCGTCGATTTTGACTACAAAGAGCTTGATATACGAACACATCGGTTTGGTTTCGGACATAGTTGGTTGGCGCGGTTGGAGCGCGCATGCAGTTGCCCGGTGGTCCCGATTTGTCGTGATCGTGGGAGTTGGTGCCTCGGCACCAGTGGGCTACCTCGGCCATCATTATGAGCAGAAGTAAGTGGCCTTTACTAGCTTTACCTGTTATTTGTTAGCGTACCATATTTTGACACTTAGCCGTTAAGAAACACATACTATGTTAGTTACGTTTGTTTTTCTTTGCGAATGCAGTTAAGAAACACGCGCTATGTTAGTTTCGTTTGTTTTTCTTTGCGAGCGCATGCACATGCGTCAACATGAGTAAATATAAATGGTCTTTACTAGTTTTACCTGTTATTTGGTAGCGTATTATATTTGCACGCTTAGCCGCGAAGAATCGCGAGCACAGGCACATGCGTTCTCGAGCTCAATTTGTCTTGTCGAAACGAGAGCAAAACCATCATTGTGTGCACGAATGTGCACGCTGTCGTGTGTTGTCTCCCGCCGTCAGACCACTGGCGAGAACAATACCCACGATCTTAAGAGAGTTGGTTAATTGGCAGTGCTACACACTTTTTTGTTTCTTTCCTTTAGCGTGGAGGAGTGGGGGTTACATCAGAAATGCCTTGCAACACTCCCGCGCTGCCGATTCCTGTCATGAACGCACCTTAACTTGCTATAGCCACTCTACTCGCACAAGTTTCGGGTATAGGTGTATCTGGTTTGGGGGGGGGGGGGGGGGGGGGGGGGAAGGGAGAGGGGGGGAGAGGGGAGGGGGGTTGGGTAGAGAAAAGCTGGTGGGCTTTTTGTCACATATGAAGGCAGCCTGCCCCGCAGGGATCAGCGCCTGATCAGCTACATCTCATTTTCAGTCTCGTTCAAACTGTCTTCTCTTAAAGCACTTCTACTGAGTGCACAAGAACTCATAAGCAAGGGTGTGGCAGTTAAGGACATGGACAAGGTGGGGAGTGGACACCTCCTGCTAAGTGATGTGAACTCTAAACTGTCCAAAGTACTTGAGCGCATAAAAGAAATTGACTCTGCTCTTCAAGCTGTGAAAAAAAGGTGAACTTCAGTTGTTTCTAATGTACACAGATTCAGCTTAGTTACAACCCTTTTTTTTTTTTTGAACATGGAGGCCTGTGGGCTCTTCTAGTCAGTGTTTATGCTGCATATGTATTAGTGGCTGTGATATTTTTAAGACAACATATTTGTCCATCTAAAGTAATATAGATATAGCTTTGTATGTTAACTTGGGTGTAGGGATTACTGTATTTTATGAACAGGTATTAAGAACATTTGTATTTAATGAAAATAGGTCAGCAAGGACTGCTTTATTTTGAAACATGTTGTGGTACCTTAATTTTTTTTTTTATGGAGACACGCAATGCACAACATTTTATGGAGTATGTAAGGTTGCGTTGCTCTTCTAGTCGATGCTTAAAGCTGCATATGTACGAGTGACTGTGGTATTCTAAAGACATAAAATACACATTTTATTTTGCATCTGAATTTTTGTCAAATGTCAGTAGCCTTGTATTTTGTTACTAAACTTGATATAGGCGATGAAAGAAGGTAAGACTACGGTGAAAGAAGGCAAGACTACACCGAAGTGCAGAACATGTTAGGGCTTTTTAAGCAGTGATTGAACATGTGTATTCTTTGTTAAACAAAACTGTAGTCAGCAAAGGTAGTTTATCTGACACCTTGCAGTGGTTTAGTTTTTTGGATACATGTTTACAATTGGTCTATTAAATAGACTGTTTTGTACTGGCGTGGCTCAAGTTGTGCTCTTATTGTCGGGGCCTCCCATATAAAGTCTATCATGACTTTGCCTGCTGCCGGAATGGTTCTCAAAGCCTTTCCTTTGCATAAATTGCTAATATTCCATATTTCAATGCAATAGAAGTAGAAAGGTATGTATGTATGTTGCTTGAAAATTATTCTGGGATGTGCATGCATATATTTTTCTACATTTTCACATTTAGCAACAACAAATCACTTTTAGACGCCTGTTTTACCTCCGTTACCTGCTCCAAAACCTACTTCTACGGCTACAAAACTTACTTTTGCTGCTCCCGAGCTGCTCTAAAGCGAGCCTTTTACTGCTCCAAAACTGCTCCAAAGTGGAACTTTTGCTGCTCCCAGTCCTGCTACAAAAGGCTTTAGCCCCCTTCCACCCCTGTGAAAGATTTTGAGCTTGTCTGATAGAGACAACCGCTTCCGTTCCGTCATACTTATTACAAAAGTGGGCACACAAATCGCCGTCCTGCCGCTGTTACCCAAAACTAAGATGGCCAGACAGAACCGAATACAAAGAAAAAGACACTCACCACGGGGTTCGTTTTCGTCGTCCGCACCGCCGCTTTGCCTCGGCAGCGCTGTAAACGCCAGTGATGATGCACCGTCGCTGCAGAGGTGGCGGCGGCAGTGCAGCGGGCATCGGCTTCGCCAGCACTGCAGAGCACAAAACTTCATTGAACTGATTGCAAAAATAATCTTGGGTCTACCCATCAAGTTCATTGAACTGAAATATTCGCTATTCCGAAATTCGTTTTTCGTTTAACTGAAACATTTTTGCATAGAAGGCATAGGAAAATCCTTTGGAGATTTTTTTAAAGTTCATTATTCTGAAATTTTTGTTAAACCGACGTTCGCTCAAGTGAGAGTTTACTGTAGTCGGGCACGAACGGATGCTAACATAGAGACGACCAATACCTCGTAAGGTGGTTGGCCGATCAATCTCCGTTGCCATGGCAATTGCCATTGCACTCCCCCCTTAAAAGCTTCGAAAGGATCGTTCTAGACCAGTTTCACCAAGATCACCATGGAGAGTCATCGTACCGAAAGCGTTCCTCGCAAGTTTAAGCGTGTTAGGCAAGGTGTATGCAATCAACTTATCAATCATGCTTATTTCCACGGATATCTCGCAGTGATATTGTCATTCTTGCATACTTCGAGGCAGGGAAATTACTCTTCAATGCTGCCAATCACCGACGACAAGTCTGGTGGCGATTGCGAAGATGCGCACTTATTTGGTCGGTGTGTGGATAACAAATATTAGTGTACCAAAAAATGCCTTTATAAAACAATCTGTAGCCGGGAGTTTGGATCGGCTTGCCAATAATGGAGAGATCAAAGAAAACTGCTCATTCCATGGACCGAAATGGCAACCATACGGGGAAGGGAGCCTGGCATTACTTTCCCAGGATCCAATGATTTTAGTGACGTCATGTCATGGAACCATGTCCATTCATATGACCACGTTGTTATGCGACGCCATGATCTCGTATGACGTTACAATGTCACGCAACGCTGCAACCTCACAGTGTCCTATTGTGCGAGGTCATTTGACAAAGTTAGCGGGAAAACTTGCTACATGCCGACATAAACTTCAGTTGAGTTTTGCTGCTGAAGTTAAATCACGTGACTTTGCCATGTTTTCATAACAACTTAGTTTTGATGCTCTTGGCTTAGAAACCAACCCTAAAACACCTTCTGCATTAGAAAGCATAGGATGCAGTGGTGTGGAGACTAGTGTTTGGAGCGTTGCTGTGTTGTAACTTTCCAGAAGTGCAGAATTTTAATTCTAAGTCAGTGTTCGCAGGTAGGAAGGCTGTTTTGTTCTATTGGGGGAAAAAATTAGATATTTGTGAATCTAGAAATTAAGATATGTGAATCTGTAACTCTAGAATTAGAGATGTGTGAATCTAAAAATGTTGTAACGTGAATCAAATATAAATTTTTGTAGGCAAGTGTTTGTACCAGTCATTTCTTTCTCTCTTTGATGCTGTTTCATTTACAGGCCAAGGGAAATGTGAAGCCTGGGGTGGATGTGGAGGCCACCATCAACAGCTTTCTGCGCGAGAAACTCTACGCCATTCTGCTTCTCATTCTGAGCCGTGGTCAGTTGCGTAACATTAATAATAATAATAACAATATTTAATCATCATTTTTGCCAGTGCACCTACTCGTCGTCTCTTAATTATGACTCGCGGAATGAAAGCGGATTGTTTTCAGTCTTTGAATCTGTGATTATGTGCGATTAGGCCCGGTGGTTGTTTGGTGTGAGTGCCAACACAATTAGCCAGTGCTTGGTTGTTTGTTTGCATAAATTAGCAGAAACTGTAGGAGGGTTTGTGCATGTTGGTACGATATGCATAGAAGCCCACCTGCCTGCCACGGTTGACTGCTCCAAAACCAGAGTTCCTAGTCTGAGTTGCAGCCTCTATGTTCCGCCTTTCGTCCTTCCGCTGGAAATGGCTGCAGCCAGCACCAGCTAGAAAACAAGGCCCATCGAGTGAGTTATTGTTATTGGATCCCCGACCCTTCCGGAGTGGCAAACACACTGAAGCTCAACAAGGGTATGCGGTGTGGCTATAAATTTACAAAACTCAACTCATCTTTAAAAAAATGTTATTAAAAAAATGGCGCAATTGTAATGTTGTGCCCTATGTACTCCCTTCCCCTATCCCTACACTGCTCCATGCAAATCTTCCATTGATGAAAGCAGTACTGTAGGTCATCGGGTGATGAGCCCTTCGTGAGCTCCGTCGCTTTTGCCCTCGCAGCTTCGACAGAGTCAAATCTCGTTCCTTTCAGCCCAGACTCGATCTTGGAGAATATAAAAAAGTCGGACGGGGCCAGGCCTGATGAGCATGCCTAATGCTGCAACACGTTGATGCTGTGCCGAGCCGGGAACGACGCGACCGACGAGGCTTTGTGTACTAGCGCGTTGTTTCGACGAAGGGTTTGCGAATCGTTCCTCCACATTTCGGGCCACGTGGTTCCCTGCTTGGCATAGCGTCACCGTGTTGGAGCGCCCGGTGTGCTCGCCTGACCTGGCCCCATCTGACTTTTTCCTATATCTCAAGATCGAGTCTGGGTTATAAGGAACGAGGTTTGACTCTGTCAATGCTGCAAAGGCAAAAGCGACGGAGCTCTCGAAGGGCTATCAGTATCATTCAACAACCTACGGCACTGCTTTCAGCAATGGATGATTCACATGGAACGGTGTAGGGACAGGGTAGGGGAACAGGTTGAGACAACATTAAAGATGCACAACTTTTTTAATACAATCTTTTTAAGACGGGTTGTTGTTTAGTAGCCGCACCTCGTACACCGTAAAGAAGCAAATGCACTTGTCTAGCGTCGACACCTGTTACTGTTGCGGAACGTGCCGACGTGAGGTGGCGCTGCATGAATTCACTAGCGATGACATTTGGGCGGGAAATGTGCAAGCCCGGTCTCCTAGGAAGTATTGCCGCACTACCCCGTAAAATGGATTGCACGTCGACAGAGCCGTTCTCTTCTGCACGCAGCCGAGAACAACTTTGGCCGGGATCTGGTGTTGCTCGTCCAGACAACGCTGGCGGAACTGATGGCACTGGTCTCCTCCTGCTTCCGGGATGAGACGGACTCCGTGGACTCTGTCTTCCGGGAAAGAATGGTTTGTGGTTTCCCGCTTTTTTACGGCGACAGCGATTATCGGCAGGGTTTCGCAGTAGATCCCAGTGTGTGTACACCGCAAAATTTAACGTCGTATGGCACTGTGGGGTCACGCGAAGTGTTTTTTCATTAAATATAATGCACGAATTTCAACGCTAAATTTGGTGGGGAAATTGGGACATCATATGGCGTCCCAATTTCCTCATTAAATAAGATGTGCAAAAATTTGTCTGCTAAGTTTAACAGAAAAAGTGTGTCATTATAAGACACTGTGACGTCACTTGTGACGTCTCGGTGTCATGTGAAAATGTAATCTTTGCACCTTTGCCCGCCATTTATTTCAATTTCAGGTTGGAACAAAAGTATGAAATTTCGGTGCATGTCAGAAAGTCTTCTTTTGCTAGGAGTGTGGACACCGAAGCAACAAATTACTTATTTGCTTTTGCTTTGCTTGTTCATTGCTCTGCTTGACTCCACTTGTTGGCTAAACCATCGAAAAGGTGCCACTTGCCATTACAGTGTTGAGTTCTGTGTCATGGGATGGCTTTGTGCACCCATTGGTCAGGAAGGCTTTTGAATAGCCCGGCAACTCAGAAGTGTAATGCACTTCTGAGGCGCCAGCGCGTTTGGCAACAAAATAGTCGCAAAATAATTGCAGCACACGCGATTGCAAGTTTTAAGTCTGTCCCATGAACGAACTCAATAGTACATCTGTCGTCACAGCCAATTCCTATGCACAAGGTTTTCTACATTGGGAATTTACCAAAGACTGAGGTTTTCTAAAGGACAACCACAAACACAGGCAAGTCTCGAATACAGCTAAATCTTAATGGACTGAACGAACCGGCAACACACAACAAAATACAGAAAGGGAGACACAAAGCTTTTAGCCTTTCCACTCCGGTGAAGGACGACCAGCGAAGCTTTACTATGGTCAGGCGACCTCAAGGACAACGCCTAAGGACAACCTCGAGGACGACCTCGAGGACGACATCTAGGACGACCTCGAGGGCGATGCCTAGAGAAATTCAGCCTTTCCACTCTGGTGAAAACCAGGGTGGAAAGGCTGGAAAGGCTGTCACCATCTATGAGCAAGGCCGGCAAGCCGATTGTCTGGTTGCCGTCGTTGCTTATAGATGGCGGTAGGTGTCCAGAGTTTTGTGTCGACATTTCTTTGTGGGGGACACGATCCTGGGGAAACTAGGCCTTAACAACTCCGCTGTAAAAAAAACTCTTTCCATAAGTACACCGCTGCTTACAAACACTCGACAAATGAAATTTGCTCCCGAACCTTACAACTTGCTAGTTTACAGAGCCTCCAACATACCCAAAGTCAGGGAACACAAATAAGCATCCTACTAACCCCGATGAAAGGAACAACAGGGAATGCCCTTGAACCTGCAGCCTAGAAATGCTAAAGCTTAATTCACAACCTCAGGGTTACAAAACAAGAAGACAGTTTCCATATTTGGTTTTACCTTTCTGCTTGCCGATTCAACGACGTCCTCGGCGCAGCAGGTGTCCACGGACCTCTGACCACTTCATCTAAACATTGGTCTGTTGTGCAGAACTTCATTCTGACCGGACTCACCGTGGGACTGTCCCCGACCGTGCGGGACCTGATCATTGATTGGGCCTTTGGCTCGTGGATGGCCGTATTGGCATCCCTGGTGTTCTCGCCGTCTGCGGTGGCTGCCGTGACCAGCCGCTACCTGGTACAGAGCGGCGAGCCCTCGCCCGAGGCTGCCCAGGAGCACCAGGAGCAGACGCCAAGAGAGCCCACCCCCTCGGCCATGGAGGTGGACGTCAGTGCCACGGTAGGGTAGCCCGGTGTTCTTTAGCCTCGCAAAGTGGGGCGTCAAATCTCGTCTGTTGTGGGGCAACCTTTTTAACGTCGAACATGGGTTGGGAGCCGCGAGAAAAGCGACGCATTACGCTTTACCGACACAGACGTCAAGGGCATATTGTCACCAATGAAGGTGACGAGAGGATGAACAGTGAACTGAAAATAAAGGTTTAATTGGCAAACTTGTACCAAACAAAATAAAGAACGAATGTCGAGGAAGCAGAAAAGCGGGCAGCAATTTGGCGGCGTAACAGCAAGTAACAGTGAGACTGACTCAACAATGTCACGAGCAGCTCCTTATCTAGTCTGCGTCGGTGTCGCGAAACTTTGGCCCAGAAGGTTCGAGCATCGAGCGTTCAGAGTGAGGATGAACAGGCACTTTCGAGAACAAGAAACTAAGATGAAATAATAAATGTTACGCCCCGAGTGAGAATAAAGACAAATCTTCTAGAATTTCGTGACTGGGCGCTGTTTGCTCAGCCCAACGCACGGCAATATAAGCAACATATTTGTATAGGAGATGTATAACTTATGCCGCCTCGAGGTCGGGGTATCGCATGACCCCATTATGTCACGTGACACCCTGGCATCGTATAATCTCTATTATCTATTTTTTTTTTCATTGAGTATTTTATTTTTTATTTATTGCTATCTTTTATTTTTATTTATTGATTTTTTATTATTTGCATCCAAAACCTGCACCTTTTGCTGGCACCCTTGTATTAAAAAAAATGGGCACATCTCCACATGGTGAATGATGTTGATTGGGTTGAAGCTCTGGTAATGCTGATGATACTGATTTTATTGTTCATAGGTAGTGCTGATGGTGCTGATGTTTTTTTATTGCTCATAGGTAGTGGTGAGTTCCAGGTTGCGTTTCGACTTCATTATTACTGCTTTATGGTCTGTGAAATGCAGAGCCAGTGGTTCTTCTAGCGGATCAGCTTGGATCCGCTAGAAGCCATGGGAACGTATCTCCATCTCCAGCGCTTAAGTCAACGGTCCATGTCAGAAAGAGAATGTGTGGTATGGATCGTGGTTATATACGCAGTTGAGCATTTGACCGCAGCACCCTCTCCTGTATAGACGTTGAGCGGCTACATGCAACGTTGCAGTGTAGCGTAATGGTTAAGACGTCTGCCTCGTGAGCAAGCGGTCCTAAGTTCGAACCCCCGTGCGGGCGTACGTTGTTTCTTTAAAAGTGGCCCGATTCCGGGGGCAATGCAATCGATGTGAGCACGGACGCCAGACGGATGGACAACGCTGGACCCTAAGGAGCTTCGCCCCTAATAAAGAAATTTGCCCTTCCAGACAAGCTGTGCCACTGGCTCAGTGGCTGTAGTATCCTATTGCCACCGCACTGAACCAGGTCCCTGGTTTCTCGCTCTTTGTTCCCCCTCTCATGCTCCTCTCCCCACGGGAGCGGGTCTTCGGGCCACTCTCCGCAGAAAGGAGGAGGATCTCCCTCTTTTTTAAATGGAAAAGAGGAATTGAGGGAGAGTCTTCTCCTTTTTCTCATCAGCCCTTAACGCGTGCGATTTCCAGCATGTCACCCCATCATGACGTTTGTTCATGACGATTTCCTCGTAGAAAACGACTTGAGCAAGGAAAAAAGGACGCCGAAACTCTAGTATGAACCAAAAGACGTACGGTGTAGCAAAATCTTTGTTTCACCACCCAGGCAAAAAATGCCGAGTTGCCGGGCTGTAGACGCACGTGCGGCATCAGGCATCTACTGTTTTGCGGTCACGTGCGGATGAAAATAGAGTCGCCGATTGATTTTCCGGACTTCGTGGGGGTTGAAAAAGCATCCGAATAATAAAGCAGTCCGAAAAATCTGCAGATTACAAAACCTGGCCTTATTGAACCTAAGCGGGCTTAGAATACTCACTAAGAGTACCTTGTGTCAGCTTATGCTTGCGGGTGGTCATGTCCGCTTGCGTTCACATCAGTGTCATGCTCTAACCCAGCGGAGGTGCAAGAGGCCAGAAGGTTCAAAGCACGTATCAATGCAAGGCAAAGCAACAAACGGCGAGACATTTAGGTGCAAAGCTTGGAAGCTGTCGGCAGCGCACTCCGAACTTAAAGGAGCGATGCAACAATTTTTGTGCTTTGCGCAAATACCGCTTAAAACGGGTCCATAACGTTAATGACCTATGGAACACGCGTTCGTTTTTCACCCCACGCAATGGAAGTCCCAGAAAAAATGTTAAAGAAAAACGAGCAGCATTCACTCCCTCAACTTGCAGCCAGAACAAGCGGCCAGGTGATCTGGAGCCGATTATATGCCACCAATGTTGATCAGAGCCACGCGCTGGGGTTGGCAAAGCGCAGGACACGCGCTGAGTTCCAGACATTGTTATGGCTCGGCTGTTGTCGTCGTTGCAGCGATTGGACACGGGTCACTACCCGAATGCTTTTCGAGCTAGTAATTATCACGAGCCCAAGTCGAGTGCCCACGCAATGCTCGGGTCCAATCTATGAACCGTATTCAAATATCGTCACCGGGGTGTACTGCGATCCCCACGTTACGTCATCAAATTTTGCAAAGGAGAGATTGAATGAAAATTATCGCTTTTGTCCTTGAAATTATACCGTAACAAAGGAGTTTCTTGGCAAGTGGCGTTGCGTGTGAGTATCCTTGAGTCCCAGGTGTGCCAGTAAGCTCGTGTAAAGTGAAAAACATTCCAATTGAATATCGTTGCACCGCTCCTTTAACGGATGGTGACTGGCACGAAAACAGAACAAAAATTTGGTTGTAGATGGAAAAACGATCAAACAAGAAAACCAAGATGGCGATGATGATGCCTAGCAAAAACAAAATTCATAGCAAAGCACGCCAAGCGGCTGGTTCGGCAATGCTAAAATAGTGCTGCCAAACCTATCCAATCAATCAGAGATACCGAGCCAAGCCCACGGTAAAACCTGTAAAAAATCTAAGATAGCAACCTTGGTGGCTGTGACTTAATTGACTCGGGTGCCTAAGAGCTGCGCTTTTAGGCGCCTGTTTCCTGGTTGAGTGGCATCGGCTTAACCGCGCATTTTGCATTATGGCACGTCGCAGTTTCCCCCTAATTTAGCGGGGAAACTGAAATGGTGTTGAGATCACGCGACATCAATTTCGCAGCTAAATTTACCAGGTTAAGCTTCCCCGCTAAATTTAGCAGGAAAAATTTTGTTTCTCACTACTTTTAGCGGGGAGATTTCGCTAAATTTAGCAGGGAAATTGTCACTATCTTTAGCGGGAAATTTAGCGAAAATTTCTTACTAAATGGGAGGGGGAGGAGAGGCATACCCTCCTCTCCGTACCCTTTCCTTCTCCTCCTCAAGAGCTGCACTCTAATTTCGCATTACAGAGGATTGTAAACGTCTTTCATTTTTTACAGAAAGGGTGCTACGCTTTGAAATTTTACAAGATGAAGTCGACCTGTGAAATATACCTTTGACAAAAAGTTTAGATTGCTATGTGCACGCACAGTTTTTTATGGCCCATTTTAGATCAAGCCTGGTTATTTCGGTCACCCTACATTTTTGTCTGAAAAATCAAACTTTCGAACTACAAACTGTCTGAAAAATTGTTTGTTAATATGTACTATTTTAATTGGGCGAGTCATGGTTCCTCGTCAATGTCCGAAATAACGAGAAAGTCTGAATTTTTGGCATCCGGAAAATTGGTCGGGGACTCTATCCTGTACAGTCCGCAGGGGCCGACGATTGCTTTGCTGCCACGCAGGAGCAAACAACGCCACAGCCCGCGGAGGCACCCAAGGTGGGTGGCAGCGCGACGACAGGGTCGCAGGACCACCGCCCCACGGCGCCACCGCTCGCGGAGGACCCACTGCCCGAAGTGATCCTCGGCTCAGAGTCCTGGCACGCCTCCGTGCCTTCGGTGAGAACTCCGCAAGACCCGCGGAATCGCGGACATCGCGCGTCGTGGTCGTAGTTTCCCACAGCCTAAGGACGTAGGGTATGGCTTATCATGTCGACGCTTCTTGCGTCGTGATTTGTCCTTAGACGTTTATCTAGGCCGATGCTGCAACCCGACTGGCTTACGACCGACGGCTTCTCCAGCTGTCGGCGACTCGCAATCAACTGCATTTCAGTCACTCGTGTCTGCATGTTACGAAAGAGCACACTGGTGCCTTCTGCTGGGTAGCCCCAGAACGCTTCTGAGCCGCATATATGCAATGTCCCACAACAAAAAGAAACGTATGAGGTGTTTTGTTTTTTTTTAAATAACCTACTAGTTGTTGAACGCACATTTTCCGCCCAAACGTAGCGCCAGCACTCCAAACCAGATGCCAAAGTTTCAGAACGAACTGTTATCTCCTTCAAAGGTTATAGGCGATTTTCTGAAATTTGCAATGGAAAAACTGCAGCTGACAATTCTCTCAAATGCGCGGAGCATGAGTAATGCAACTGCTAGATTTGTTGTAATGCCAAGTGGAGAACATTTTATGGCAATGTGCTGGGCATGACAGGGAGGAAAAGGAAACAGGTATTTTTGGTGCTGGAGATACCCTGTAGGGATATGAAGTGAACTGTAGGTACTAGTACAGTGATGTGATTGCTGCGCCGATTGCACCAAACTGCGCCAGGTGGCTACTCTGCTACATCCTGCTACATTTTGCCAAAATAAGGGTAATCTGTGCCAAGCCTGCACCAAAAAACCATATTCGGTCGCCTTTAAGATAAAACTAAACTAAGTACCGTAATTGAGCATGCGTGTGTTATGTGCCGCAAACGGCTGCCCAACACAAAGTACCCTGCATCAATTGTCCATCCAGTCTTGCAGGGATTGCCTGCCGTCTCGCGTTTCGCGCCCTTGTCGTCTCGTAAATCTTGTTTCGCGTCTTTTTTTTTATAAATATTTTTAACAATGACGCGGGTGTGTGCGGAAGCTCCGCCGCTAGCTTGCCAGGTACCAGCCATGCCGTCATGCTACGAACTGAAACCACGTTTTTGCGCGGCGGGTGTTACTTTGTGAGCTGAAGCACTCGCTCTTGAAAGCAACAGGTGTGGGAAAACTATATTTGGTCCCTTCCTTCCAGTCACCGTGGCCGTGCGACGTCGGATGTTGCCGTCCCCACGTCACTGCATATATGGCGCTTTCTAAAATGAAACTAAGCACCGTCGCATGTTCATCAACATTCCTGTTCTTGTTTAAATCATACCCGACTACAAAAATCCCTCTTAACTCAGACTGCTGTGTCAAAGTATTGGTTATCTAGGTTTTTCTCATTGGGCTATCTTTCGAGAGGGAACCTGGTTCGTGAAAAATCTTCCGTGAATGAAAGTTGGTAAAGAGAAGTGAACTAAAGCAGAGAAGGCAATGATGCACGCTGAGCCCGCACAATGCTCTTGTTTGTCTCGAGTCCAGTCGTTGCACAAAGCGCCCAAGAACTTTCTGACCCTGGCTCGCAATGTCTTGCATCAATGCGCTCAAATTTTTTTTTTTTTTTTTAAAGTTTGTACTTTGTTTGTTGGTCTGTCAAGCACGCACCGCTGGTGTGTTTTTTGTCGTTACATTGTCGACAGTTACATTTTGCATAGAATTTTGAGAAGCAGTCGGCGATGGAGCAGAGTGGCATGGCATGGTTTCGGTTTCAGTCGAACAGCCGTTGTCTCCGCTCGCGCGACGAAGCATGTGCAATTGCAAGCCTGCCAAAGTAGCCATCACGTGCATGCGAATATGATTGCACGACAGGGGGCACCACCTGGGACGCTTGCAATCCATTGTTTTACGTTTGCTTAATTTTTACGAAAATCTGGCCCGTCGGGAACCAGTAAAACGGTGGCAAGCGGTTTTTCTAAACTGCTTGGCAATGCCTACAGCACTGTACACTTGTGGGATGTCTCAGCCATAAGAACACAAGCACAGAGTTCCATCACAATTTTTAACATCAGAACACGGCACAACACAAAGTTCCCTTCGTTCGTACTGCACCTAAAAGGAATATGTTTATTTTTTCTAAGAATATCTCCTCCAAAAGCCACTTTTGCTGCTCCAAAACACTGTCTAGGTTGCTCCAAAGGCCACATTTGCTGCTCCAAAACACTGTTTTCGCTGCTCTGAAAGGTGCTCCAAAATGGTTTAGGCTAATCACATCACTAAAAATTACACAAAAAAAAAAAAAAAAAAAAATTTTTTTTAATTAATGCGGAAAATAAAAGAAATTAAGAATTTTGGCTGCCCTTGAATAGCAAAAGCTTGATTGTCTTGAGGAGAAATTTTTATACAACACTTGCCAAGAAAACAACCAAATCAGCTCTGAACAACTTTGTGGAAACGATATTGGGTATGAAAAAGCGAGAACACGATCTGGAAAACCATTCCAGTCCTTTATGGACTGGGCGAATGGGGAAAGTAGGATCAAGTTAGTCTGTGATTTAAAGGGTGTGACTGCCTGAATGATGATAAACCGTGGCAGGTGTGAATTGAGCAGGTGTGAAGAAGTGTGTTTTGAAAAGTGATTCGCTGTAATAAGTTTGGAGGATGCAGGATGCTTTGCTGGTTCAACAGCTCTGTGCCTCGGTACCTTGGCATTTGAAAAATAATTCCGTTGAATCTTGTCCTTCCACTGTGCTTCATTCTGCGTAACTAAATAATCCGGGAGAAAAATGTTCAGAAACACACCGATAAAACTTGCAGTGTGTCATCTGAATCGTGTTTATCGACCAAGTCCTAAGTATGAAACAGACTGCAGTTGTACTACACGTTGTCGGCACGTTCTTCTCCGCAGGAGTGGGTGCCCATCATCACGAGAGACATCCAGCGGCAGCGACGTCAGGCCACCCAGCCCCCATTCAGCGACGCCTACTTCTGTGGCATGCCTTCCAAGCGCAGGAAGGTATGTTGTTCTTTGAGCCGGCGTCTATGCTTCTGCATCAGGGGTGGCTGGAACCCGGGAAATGGATTTTTTCGGGCGTGCAATCGCCCGTGTAGGTGCCGGGCGAGCCGAGCGGCAAGCTTCGAGAGGCGTTCATTCCTCCGTTTGATGGGACACAGTTGGAGTTCTGCTCCAGGTTGTCACAGCTCTATCGTGCTCCACTGCACTAACTTGGTTTCACCACAACTCGGTCAGAAGGCAGGTGCTACGGCCCCTAGGGACAAACGAGATTGACTTAGCAAGACTCGTGACAACTTTTCACCGGAGGAGTGCACTCCAATGGTATGTTGTTACATGCCTCACTCAAAGGCTGTCGATTGGCTCGCTGGGTCTGTTGCTTTAACCGCCTGCCAAGTTGGGCCGAAAAAAAGTCGGTGTTGGTCGCACTCCACCGCTCGAACTGCGCTCTACAGCACTAGCTGTGCTCCACTGTGCCAGTTGTGCTCAACTGCTCGAGCTGTGGTTCACTGCACTATACTCGGCTCCAACTATTTTGTGCTTTGTTATCAAGGCTAGCGTAGCTTTTACTGCACTCCAGCGCCATCAAAAATTACAAACTTGCACGAGTGTGTGGCTTCATTTGGCACCTCTTTCGCGCTGGAGCACTTGTGAACAAGATTCAAGAGAAATCCACACCGTGTAGGTTACACCGGCCTCAATAACGTAGCGCAAAATAGTTGACACAGAGTGTAGCCTTGCTTCTCTGCACTAGGTGTGCCTCAATGTGCTAGTCGTACTCTAGCCCCACGCTTTCCTCTCTGACCAGATCATGAACGGAGGAAATGCGGGCGGCCCAGATGGCTCCGTTCCAAGCTCCCTGACAGAGGCGCTGCAGCGTGCGGTGCAGCGGGCGGGCGTGAGGGCGCCCCGGGACGGCATGGAGGCCTTCCTGGCGGCGGCCAGGCAGCACCCGGCCCTGCAGGCGGCCCACGGGCTACAGCTGCGCCAGGCCGTGAGGGAGCGGCTGTCCACGGACCCGGACTTCCGCCCCGACCGGTTCCCCAACGCTCACCGCTTCTACTACAGCGCAGACCCTTGAGTGCAGTCTCTGTCTGCCTTGTACTTTGTGTGGGCTCTGATTCTCGCCAATCGGGAGAGGGATCCCAGTCCGTTTCCCGTTTGCGAAACTTCAAAACTTCAAATAGAGGTGTTGGCATCCGTGTTTGTGGGCCAAGTGCTCCCATCATTTCTACCTTCCGACCGGAGAGGAAGCTCAAGTGCAAGCGGAGGGGTTTCGAAAGACGCTTCTAGCTTATGAAACTATTAACTCGCGCTCACAAATTTTACTTCAATCGGTGAATAGAGTACACATATGTTGCACGGCACAGCCACAAACTTCGTGGCCATTTAAAGTCTTCTTTCCAATTTTGAGCTGCAGTTTCCGTTTTGTGTACAAATTGGCAGAGCGTTCAGGGTCTGTTCTCGGACTGCAAAACTTCCAAGCTGCAGTTCAGAAGAAAGTAAGGTATTGGCATCCGCAGGCATGGGACGTGCACTGCCCCGTCTCCAGCTCCCGACTGGAGAGCAATCCTCAGGTGAGGGCCTTACTTTCGAAAGTAAGGAGTATCGGAAGATACTCCTTACTTTCGAAACTATCTACTGACGCTTGCAAGGTTTACTTCAGTCGGTGGATAAAGATGCATACTATGTTGCTTGGCACGGCCACAAACTTTGTGGCTACTCGATGCATTCTTTTCAATCTCGGGCTGCCGTTTCCATTTTGCGTGCAATCCACAAAGAAGCCCACATAAACATTAGCAGTACGCGTACAATTATTTTATGTGGAACATTGCTCATGTATGTTGATGGTACACTATAAAATTCTGGTTGAGACGTGCATTGGATAAGTTGTCCTCGAGTCCTCCTGTACGACTTCGGTGGTACAATGAAGTTTGGTTGAGATCTTTTTCAGGGGCATCTTTGAGTTGTATGTTTTGTTTGTCAAATGTTCTCAAGTTTTCGTATTACAACTGGCCGACTGTTCGAGAGCGGGCATTAAAAGCCTGATTTCTTTTCACTCCATGAAAGCATTGCAATAGTTTCTTTTTTTGTTTTTATAGTGTTTCATAAGCTACATTTTTCTACATAAAGGAACTGTCATTTTAAGAGTAGATTCACCACCTAGAACAGGCATACTTGGAGAGCAGAGTCAAACTATATAAACAAGAGCTTGCTCCCAATTTTGTTTTCAGAAAAATCCTTCATAATCCTATCTATTAAAAAAGATTTAGCTCTTGACTGCGTAATTAAGAATTCTCAGGGTCATTGTCTGAATGTGCAAATAAACCCCCTGAAGACAATCTGAATTCGTTTTGTCTTGGAAACTTTCGGTTAATAGAGACACCAATTTTCATTTTGACAGCTGGCGGAATGAATCGATTGCTTTGCACTGTGCATTAGATTGTAGTCCTTCCCAGCATCTAATGAGGTAATGTGACTCGTGGTTATGTATTGCAGAAATGACAACTTCAGCTTAAGTTAAAGCTGACCATAAACTTGTGCATCGTGTGTGGCGCAAGCTGGTAGTTATTGTGAACAACAAACAATATATTGAGCATTGAGTGTCACTGTTGGGCACACCATTATGACATGTTGAGATTACTTAGAGCCATTTTGTGGACATTCCACTGTAACTAAACTATAAAAAAAAAAAAAAAATTGCAGGAGGACATTTAAGATTGCTTATGTGTAGGAAGGCGAAAGCATTATAGTCCCGCCGGAGAAATGTTTTCGAGTAATGTTTCTACACATATTAAAGTACAGGACAATGTTTTAGAGATCGACGCCAAGTATGGCGTCGAGGATGGCCTCTACGACGACGTCAAGAATGATGCCTAGGATGACCACTAAGACGACGTTGAAAACGTCTAGGACGACCTCAAGGATGGCGTTGTCCTTAAGCATATGACTGAGCGGCGCATGCTTGGTGACATATTTTTATGGCCATCTTTCGGGCACAATGACGCCGCTTTTTCATGCAATAGGACAAGGGCTTTCGCCTTAAAAACTGAATGCCTTTTGAAAAATATGGTAAGATCCGAGCCAGACATGCGCTTTACTCTCCTTGCTTCCCACTTTCCCTCCTTCAAGCCTCCTTCCCCAACAGATTGATTCACTCCCCTCATCGGGGTGCGTGGCAGAAAAAACTGGAGCAAAATAAGCAAGTCTTGCGCACTGATGAAAATTTAACATGTATGTCAGCCCCCAACCCTTTCACGGCCGAGTTTTATTTTTCCCCAAAAGGTGCTTCCCGGTGGTCGGATTTTGTTTCCAAAGGAATAGTATAAAAAAAGGTCAGTGTGCAGGTCTTTTTTTTTTTTAATTATCTAGTGGGAGCACAGTGTGCTTGCAAGCTGTTTATGCTTACAAGCATGAACTGAAAACATGGAAGACAAAACAGTTTCCTTTCTTTCATTTGGTTTCATTTTGGCATGTCCGCCTCCAGGAGATTCCAGCGGCTTCAGATTCTGAATCAGAGGTGCTTTAGAGAGCTCTGTCGGATAATGAGGCTCGAATTTAATTCCTGAAAGCATTGGAAGTCTGAATGGGAAGAGCCGCTGGTTCCATTGGCACCACCGCCGGAGCAGCCAATCGCGAAGTATCGCGTGCGTACAGCATCTAATTTTAAAACTAAACAACTTGGCAGAGTAAAGCACCGTGTGAATATAACGTTTATAGTTTGCAAAAGAAGCAACAAATAACACGTCCCACGGTGCATGCAGTTGTGTGTTTAGGCAGGCACTTTCAAATGTGTAATCAAACCCATATCTATGGTGACAACTGTCTAAGGTTTTTTGTTTTTTTTTTAAAAACAAGGTATTGTACTTTTTTCAGCACTCTATTTTGTATCGTGCTGCCAAGAATATGGTCCCTAACTTAATTGGTCGTATGTAGGGTGCTGTGTTTTTAAGGTTTATTTTCCGCAACAGATTCAGTGTTCCCCGGAGTTGGACAAGAAATCTGTGTTTATCGGGCCTTATATGGAAGAAACTGGACATTGGCATGCAATTGCCCAACCTCCAGAGAGCATGCTCGTACCCAGTATACTTGGAAAACGTCCTGGTACTAATAAAAGGAGGCGACGAGATGAGGGGTCAGGTTTCAAAGAAAGGAATAGCCTCGCAGACAGTTCAGTGCGACTGTGTTCGAGGTAAATGCAAAATAAAACTAGTTGAAAGTTTTTTTTGTTTTGGAAAGCTTGGGTTTTTGTTGGCAAAGGAAAGCTCCAATTTGGTGTTTTTGTGGAGCGCAAGTTCGTCTGCTTCCTTTGCAGGGGTGGTTGTGACGTCAGAACGCCGAGCTCCGATCTAAGGATAGTGGGTAGACCTCAAGGCAGCTTGCTTTGGGGTCTATCCACTATCCTTCAATTGGAGCTCGGTGTTCTGACGTCGCCACAACCCCTGCAAAAGAAGCAGACGAATTTGTGCTCCGCTTTGGTTTTCCCAGATTTTGAAAAAACTGCTTCAGGGGTTAATATTTTGAGTTTATCCGTGTTTACCGAAAACACTGAAACCCAGAACCTTCACCCTGGGTAACAGCTGTCCATACGTACAGCGCAAGCACCAACAAACTTTCATGTCGGACAGGGGGAACAGCGCAGGACAAACGTGCAGTTGTTGAACGTTCAATAGTGAGACACTGGCACAATATATGATGCTTTATTTAGGTGCAGTGTTCTACAAATGCGTGTAGGTGTAAATATGGTACTGATAAATATGCCTAGTAATGCTATACATTGTAGGACACCGGCGTCCAGTTGCTCAAGCTTACAAAGTGGGAAAGACTAAACAATGGTTCAATGGTTTTGTTATGCCCGAGTCCTAATGAGTGCACACTGCAAATGTGCATTGCAGTCATGTGTCAAGAGTTTCATCCATCCGTGATTTCCAGCAGTTCGTCCTTTAGCAGCGCTTTGCGAACTGCTTCGCCTTTCGATGCCAAGATTTCTTCGATGTTCCTGAAAGGAAACAAATGAGTTGAGCATTCAATTCCAATGTTCTCTTCTATCCACTGAAGATTCTATTTTTAGTCCAATCTTCGACGCACCAGTTACTTCTAATTATACGCCGAACAAACACAACAGGCATGACACTGTGTGAAGATTCCATACTCCGTCCCCAACTTTGTTTCGCGCATTCTCGTACCTTCAACGCGCTTTGCGAACTTCACAGGTGCAGACTGCGTTTGAATCGTATAATAATAATAATAATAATTAAAAAAAATTAATTCGAATGAGTATTTTCAAATTACGGTGAGCGTGCAGGCGAGCTGGTGTATATTTACCATTTTGTTGAATGATTTTTCGTTTACGCTACCTTTTTCCTTCGAGATCCGGGAACCAGTCCAAGTTGTCGGCGATGAGGTGGTGCTTGCTACACCCGTGGCACTTGACGATCACTACACCCTTCTCGTAAGACACTTTGGAAATGAGCTTGGTAACGCGCGTCGAACACAACTTGCACAGGAATGAGAGCAGCATGCGGCCCTGGAGCTTGGCGATGGGCACGCGAAGTCTGGAGTTTAGCTCGCTTCCCGAGCCGCACTCGGAGCTCTCGCAGACGGTTTCCACGCAGGACCGAGTGTCCGTCTTTGAACCCAGCGTCCTGACGCACACAATTCGAGTGGTTCGGTAGCACTGACCGGGTTCGCGACCGCAGGTACTGCCCGAAAGCAGGCTTCGACGAAGCTTGTGGTGGTGTCCCTCTCCGAGGAGCCCGGACGCCTGGCCCGAGTAACAGCGAGCGCATTGTTTCCACGCCGAATTACGGGACCGAAGGCAGAAGAGGATGCTGCGAAGGAGGCCTCGTCCTGTCGACTTCGACATTTTCTTTTTATCCCCTGTCGTCCGAACGAAAGGCAGGGTGACAGCAAGACGTTGTGCAAGCGTTACCACGAAAGCTGCAAGTACACGGCCGTTGCCATCTTTCCGCGAGGAGTTGCAGACGACCGCGTCAGCGCAGGTTAGCGTGCTAGCGTCACTGCCCGCGATCGTTTATTCAACTCTCGTGACCCTTTTCACTTTTATCAAAAGGGCAACTTTCGTTGACCTATAAACTGGTTCTGACGTCACGATTTTTAAGAACAATAAATGAATAGGGTCATCTTCCTTTTGCGCAGAGGCCAACGTTATTAGATTAGCTCAGTTACGGATAGGGGTGTCGCGAACCGGCCGAACCGGCCGCGGTTCGAGTTCGACCAGGTTCGACATTTTCGAACTTTTAGTGAAAAGTTCGTCGAGCCTTGTATTATGGTGTACTAGAACTGGGCAGTGTGTCGTCCGCGCCGAGAAGCAACGGAGGGAGGAGGTCGGCGCAGCGATGACGGCGCGCGAGGAGGCCAGGGGGCGCTGCGGGTAACAGGCGTGCTCCTTCCCGCTCCGATTGCCGTGTGGTCGTACTGCTTGTGATCGCGTGGTTCGCGTCGTATCCTTGTTTTGCTGCAGTGTTTTTTTTTTTTTTTTTTTTTTTTTTTAATGGTTGAGTGAAATGGATTGTGATCGGTGCCGTTCAGTAGGGTGTAGACAACGCGTGCAATGACAGAAAAACGGCGGGACAAGAGAGACGGGACGTGTTTTGTGTCGGGGCAGTGATTTCCCTTTTCCAAGGGGGGAGTAGACCCGTCAGCGGGGGTCTACTCCCCCCTTGTTTTTCCGAAAGCACCCATTTAATTCGCAACGACTCTTATATTCTCAATGCCCCCCCCCCCCCCCCCCCCCCCCCCCCCCCCCCCGAACACCCTCCCTAACCTCAATTCCTGAAGCCCGTGCCGGGCTGCAACAGTGGCTACCGGTCCTGCAAAGAAAGCCCGTTCCCTTTTTCGTGCCCCTCTCGAGTTCAGTCGGCGTCAGTCGTCGTCCCGCAACATTAAAAGGAGTGACAGGGAGACTCTGCTTCATGTAATGCAGGCTGCCATGACAGTCGTCCTCTACATTTTTTTTTTCCCGGACTTTTTGCACTGTAAAGTATCTGCTAAATCGGTTTTATAGACACTGGTTTGGGCACACCGAAGGGTCCTGTGCACGCTGACTGCATTAGAAATGGTTGGAGAAGTGACTGTGAAAATATGACGTTAAAGGTTATGGCCTCACATGAGCAAATTATTTTTTTTCCTAACGGCTTTAAAAAGATGAGGGTTGGCCCAGCAATCTCTTCAATGAGGAGGTGATAAGAGGCCTCTTTTTTTTTTTTACCGCAAGAAAATTGAAGGGTCATATGGCCCAGCGGAAGATACTGAGTCATTTATCCTGAAGATGTCGAAGCTCATCAAAATCATGACCTCACGTTGGAGAATGTAGAGGTACAAAACGCCATAGGCGCCGACTACGAGGGAGCTCGGGAGCCCCCCTCTCCCGAGCTCTTGGGAAAAGCAAGTACCATCGCCTCCGGAATCCTTGGGTGCACCACATTAATCTCATCTGTGCGCTGGCACTCGGTGTATAATTAAAATTTATCTGTGTGCCCTTGTGCCCACACATATCAATATAGCTGGTGCTCAGTGGATAAATTATCCACTGTGGCTACTACCAGAGCTGGCGAGTGGATACATTTTTCTAACTATTCGCACAGTCCTGTTTGAAGACCCTACGTAGTAACAGCAAATAAAATAAAGGCTAGTGCTGGAAATTCCTTCGAACGCCCGTGGAAGTAGTTGCGAGAGTCGACAGTGGCACCTCCATCCAGCCTACGGAAGTAGGCGATATAATCCGTTTTGTAAGCCCCATTTCGTGTTCTTAAACATTGAAACAATTCATTAGGGTAGTGCGCTTCAACCACGGATTTCATTGATCACAACTACAGTGACAGCGAGATTATGGGGTCACAAAAGCAGACATTTGTTTAGGTATCATGCCGTCAGCATGCTTCCTACGTTATCCAGGGGATTACACACGTTTGGGACGTCTCTTTCAAGATACTTCCCGAACGTTTCCTTGGGGGATGGATTTCCCGCAGCTATTCAGAACGCAACATTGTTAGCGTGAACAAGCGATCGCCGGTTTTTCTATGGGAAACCAAAGGATCTCAGCAAAGTTCTAATTGCTGGGGAAAAAGCTCATTCGGGTCTATAATGCAGGTGATAAAAGTTCGTCCTCACTAATACTCTTTCGAAGTAAATGCGAGAAAGCGCTGATGTCTTGTTCGCGCTGTCGCGATGTGTACTGTGGCGTCCTGCCCGAAGATGCACGTCTTGGGCAAAGCATTTGGCAATGAATTAGTGCGATAAATAATATGTGAAACAGCAGAGATAAAGAATACCATAAAGAGTTAGCCAAACAATACGAAACAATCGAACCCGTGCGGAACGCCAAGCCAGCCAAGCGCTACCGCTGCCTGCGCTCCGCACTCCGGCAGCACGCCTACTACACGTTGCGCCCTCTCGCGGCCACCGATCCGGTCATCGCTGAAAGAGCCCCCCCTCCGCCGGCGCTCGCTACCCTCGCTACACTGCCCAGTCTTCTAGTACACCATACTTGTATTGAGGTTCGACTCGTGTGCGCATGCGCGACAGGCTGGCCAGTTGGCTTCGGATTGAATGGTAATGGCTAAGAGATGGATTAAGTGCAGCGCTGATCGGCTATTTCAGTGAATACAGTACTAAAATTTAATTTATTAACTTCTTCAGTGAATATAATTTGTTTCTTTTAATTGCAGTTGTTCACACAATAAAATAACCCTTTGCATAAAAAAAAAAAAGCAATTCTCCAAACCTAGACATGCTTGTATCAAGGTCTGGCCATACTGTCCACAAAGTCGAACCGGTCGAATCTGGTGAAAAGTTCGAAGGTTCGTCGTACCGGTTCGACCAAAAAATCTGGTTCGACAAAAGTTCGCGACACCCCTAGTTACGGATGGTTACGGAACTGCTCATGCTGCTCATAGACGCTGCATGCCACTGATCTCTATGTCATTGAGATCAGTGCTGCATGCACTAGAGCAGCCATAGAGATCATACATACTAACCGCCGAATTCAGAAACCTCACTCAAACTACACTCAAACTGAAGGGCCCCTCCACTTCCTCGAGGAAGGCGTGAGGGCCGGCGCTGGCCAATCGCGAGGACGGATCCGTCGTCGCGATTGGCCAGCGCCGGCCCTCGCGCCTTCCTCGAGGAAGTGGAGGGGCCCTTAAGTTTGAGTGTAGCTTGAGTGAGGTTTCTGAATTCGGCGGTAAGTTACTAACTCTAGAGGAAAAGGTCCGCCATTTTCCCATACATTCTGGCTGCCGCAAGCGGCGGATCATGCAGGCAGACCCTCGGGGTCCCAAACACGGTTACACCGGTTACATCATCAGAGCAGTTTCTTGAACTTCAACAATCCACGAACTTACCGGTGGAAAGATATTCGCGTTCCTTTCGAAGCTTTCTTTTTGCATAGCGCGCAGATGTGCGGCCTCGCGTTAACGCTAAACTAAACCATATACCCGGCTTCGCCGGTGGGGCGCGGCTGGGCGCGGTTGAGGAATACGAAACTGCGCAACCACCAGATTTCCGAGATTTCGACAGAAGGGAAGTTAATTAGGGGTGTCGCGAACTTTTGTCGAACCAGATTTTTTGGTCGAACTTTCGGGGTTCGACTTGATCGAACCGGTTCGACGAACCTTCGAACTTTTCAACAGATTCGACCGGTTCGACTTTGTGGACAGTGTGGCCAGACCTTGATACAAGTTTGTCTAGGTTTGGAAAAATTTTTTTTATGCAAAGAGTTAATTTTTATTGCAAACAGCTTCAATTAACAGAAACTAATTCTAATCAATGAAGAAGTTAATAACTTAGTACTGTATTAACTGAAATAGCCAATCAGCGCTGCACTTAATTCATCTCTTAGCCATTATCATCCAATCCGAAGCCAACTGGCCAGCAAGTCGCGCATGCGCACACGAGTCGAACCTCAATAGAAGGTTCGCCGAACTTTCCACTAAAAGATCGAAAAAGTCGAACCTGGTCGAACTCGAACCGCGGCAGGTTCGCGACACCCCTAAAGTTAATGCAGCGTAATGACTTTATTGCTTTTTATAAGCGTTAGAATAGCTCAGAATTTAGTTTACAACGTTAAATTATCACTGTTTATATTGCTGAGAGTTTTCACTCTTCGTGTTTAATAATAATAATAATAATAATAATCTTTATTTGCACAAACAGGTGTTTTCCTGGGGGCGTGCGAGGCGAAACAGAAAGGCGGAAGCCCGTACGCTGGTGCGTCTGTTGGCCCAACCCCCAGGAAACGAAAACAAAGTTCAACATAACAAACAAAAAAAAACACACAATACTTAGAAAAAAAAAATAATAATAATAACAATAATAAAAGGGGGGGGGGGGGGAGTTACGCAATCGGTCGCATTTACGAGGCCCTAGCACGGCCCGAGTGTCCTCAGAGGGCGTCCAAACCGAAATCGCGAAGCGCGCGCGACTCCCATCGCCGCGACGGGGCAAGACGGGGGGCCCTGCCAGGAGGGAGAGACCGAGAAAGGCCCGAAAGGCCCAACACCTTGGGAGGGCGAGCCAGGTCCCGATCCCAATCACCCCCCCCCCCCCCCCCCCCCCGCCCCCCGCCCCCCGCGACAGGACCCCCCATCACGGCAACAGTCGAGGGCAACGCGCGTCCCGCAATCCCGGCCCGAACGCAACTTCCCCACACAATCAATTCCGCGCTATGGCGAACCGTGCGAGCCCGTAGCTGCTCGGGTTGTCCGGACCGCTTACTAATGCGGAGGATTGAGTTGAGATAAGTGTTCTCTAGTGAACCGTCCAGGAGGCGGCACAACAGTCTCACACGCGCAACGACCCGTCGATGGTCTAATGTCTGCCAGCTGAGGGCCTGAGGCGCCTCAGTCGATCCTCATAGGTCTGGGGGGTGACCAGCGTCCGGTCCGTCCGCGACAGGAGAGTTCGTGTTGCGCGACGCTGGACCCCCTCCAGACGTTGAGAGAGGTGGGCTTGGTAGGGGCTCCAGATA